TTGATTTTGCTTTTAATACAAAAGATTTTAAAAAGAATGACATAATAATTTAAATTAATTTTTTTTAAAAAAATTTTAATAAAAATTATTCTTTATATTTAATAATTTTTAAATATAATTTTTTTAAAAAATTTATTTAATAAATAATATTATTAATTTTAATAAAAAAATTCGAGTGCCAGTTTTTTTGTCCCATACTGTATATCAATAATTAGAATGGGACAATATTACCTATCCTAAGTTTAATAGTCAAATACATAAAATTATTATATGTAGAGAAACATTTTCATTCAAATTCAGGCTCAATGAACAATATATCAGATTTTGTATCTCATTCTTATCAATAATGATTAGACTTATTTCTGACAGCTCGAAATACATCAAAATGAAAATTCTTTAGTTGGAAATAAAAAATTATAGACAATGGCCATGGATGCACTAGCAAAGCTGTAGAAAGATCAAATGACTTATACCATCCTCATTAAATTCAAATTTCAAATTAAGAAAAGAACAGATAAGGACAATTCTGATTTGTTATTATAGAGATTATTTCTACTTCTTGAGTTATTAGTGGATATTTCATCAACTCTCTCTGGCTAACAGTAATACACAACAAACAAACTTCCTTTTGCAACTTGAAATGAAAGATTTGCGCAGTACTGTATCAAACAATTATGCATATGATATAACTGCAGAATATAGAACAGCGATCAGTAATATCCATAAATCGATCGAAAAAAACCCATTTGACTCACATAATCTTAATCCATCAAAACATAATTCTCCGAGGTCTTCCCAATGTAATTTCTTGAAGATAGGGAGAAAATGTCCATAATTTAAATGTAAAAAAATTTGCTTTTTTAATTGCCAACTACAGGAATTTGACCTTTTGACATTACTCGAATTAATTTTTTATTACTAAAAGAGAGTAATAATGGAATTTCATTCGAGGTCATTAATGATAATGAAGCTAAGAATCAAGATCACAGGGGATCAAAATGAAGCATCAAGAAAATGGTTACAGAACCATATACATAAAATAAAGCTTTATTTACAACATCAACTGTTAGAAGTTATTTGAATCATATTGTGATTTTCACAGATCCCCCAATTGTTTCTTATATAACAAGTTCACACAATCCATCAGCCGACACAATAACCATGAATGAAGAATGACCTATTTTTTAAAACCAGACTGAGGAAATTACAGAGTCCAGATGATCTAATCGCTAAAGATGCATGTGTTATTGTTGCCTTTCTGGCACAGAACATTGGAGCAGATGTGGCATCAATTTTAAGCATGGGCAATTGATTGAGTCAACTACATACCAAAGGTTTAACCAACGAGAAATATCCTTATCATTTCAGAAGAATAATGCATCATAAGGATTATTGATAATGCACTTTCTTTCGGAAACATGCTCCAAGAACAATTATATATGTCTGAGTATAAACGAAAGACATTTGAAAACGTATACTGTAATTGCATTGCACATAGCAATCACTCATTCTATCTCATTTCGGGATTTGATCATTACACAATTTAATATTCGAATACTTTATTTATATTTGCTCAATATCAGATACAATACAAAAAGGAGAGAGACAGAAGAAAGAGAAGAAGTTGGAAGCTAAAGAAATATAAGATTGGAGAAGGAGGGATATTAGAATGCTGTTCTTATACTGTACATTTTTTTCTTTTTTCTCTATGAAATAATTGTGATGCAATGATCCAAAACTGGACTATTGACTAACAAATAGGCTTTAGGCACATTATATGCAATGAAATCACTTGCTAATACATTTCCAAATGGGTTTCACGTATACTTAGATGCGTAAAATTTTTTGGTTGCGTGTATTCCATAGATGAAAATAAAAAAAAAACCAAGAGCAATTAATATAAAGGCTCCAAAATTTAAATAACGTAGATTTACACGAATTCCTGGATAATAATTATTATCTATGAGCTCTAACTTGCTATAAACCTTAAAATGAACGGAATAAATCTATATTGTTAGAAACCTTACTATACACTATAGCTCAGATTTTATTTGTATCTTATATCAGATTAATTAGTAACAACTTATTTAATTGTTAAAGTTTTTCAGGTTCGTATTCATTGTAAGCTTTGATTAGACTTTTAATGTAGACAATATTCCTATACTATACTATGGATTTCATTTGTCATTTCGTATAATTTACACTTTAACAGAAAATGTAAGACTGTTACATGAAATTAATAATAAGGATTAACCTTTCTTTTTACATACTAAAATATTTGCTTTGCTGAGCAACTGATCATCGTTTATAATTATTGTAGGGAAGTCGCACCACTTTACCATTAAGTCATTTATCTTATTCTTGTTCCACGGACCATCCATTAAATGAGCTACTACTTGATCTCCGTATTTATACCATTGAATTTTCGGTATTGACTCTTGTGCACTTAATGAAAACAGAAGTCTAATACCAGAACGGATTAAGTTGTGTGCTTCAGATTGTAAGTCTGCTTTCCTTTTCTCTTCAGATACTTCACGATATTTATTCATTTCATCGATGAGAATCCTGGTAAGTCTCTCAATGAAAGGATGATTAGGTTTGGAAAAACCCAGAGTCACCAATGCTGCATAACTTAGTTGCCGTATTTTTATCAAGTAGACGTTGGTAATGAGTTTATTGTCATTTGTTTCGAAAAGATCGGTTATACATCCAATCAAATCATCAGTGTAGTTTACTATTCCGCGCTCACTACATTTCATCTTTTTTAAATGTTTTTCGGCATTAAAGATGATTTCAAGTGAAATTCGTTGAAGAATAGAGCTTAATAAAGACCTGAAATCTTCCTCGGTAGCGTTTTCGTAGATAACTTCACATCCACGCTTAGACAAGAATTTGTGAACGGCATCTTTGTTTATCTTATCTGTACTATCGACTTGAGTAAATTCGTAGACATCATTTTGTAATTTGCTAATATCCTTTGAAATTTGGTCGGTGCTGTAGTGTGTGTCGTCTCCCCAAGAGGTATTCGTAAAGTTTCCAAGAGTAGCCTGTAAACGAGAGGCTTTACTGCTGGATTGTTTTAATTTTTCACGTAATTCACAAATTGTCTTGGCCGATTGTTCGTTTTTTTGACTTATGGATTTGATTTCGTCTTCTGTCAGTTAGTCAAATAATCAAGAAGTGAGTCCTGGTCTTTGTTATACGCTATATTCTTAAATGAGATTAAAGTAAAATTGATTATTTACTTAAACCCAACTTTTTAGAAATTTCGCTCATAAGTTCTTGCGACGAGTAAATATTATTTGTTCCATCTTTTTTATTGCATTTGTTATAAAGGTTTATGGAAACCAAAATTGCCCACTTTGTCAGAGAACTAAGCCAGCCTCTAACTTTATTTCCGAACCAGCCACCATGTTCAGGTGATTTAATTAGGGACGATACTTTAGTGTTACTTGTTTGTAGAACGTCTTTATATGTAAGAGGAACACTTTTATTAGTTTGGTTCATATTTTATTATGCGTAAGTAGTAATGTTCGAAGTTTAGTCGTTTCGAATAGATTTTCACAGTATCTCGGTCGCGATAGAAAATTCAAATAAGATGTCCACACAGGATTTATACTGTTGTTTCGATTAATAAATTTGTCATTTATTTAGTTAGTTTAATCTCATCAACCTATAAAATTAAATTAAATCAAATTTAGTTTTGTTTAATTTGATAAAGACAAAATTAGATTAAATTAAATTATCAAATAAACTGATTTACTTTGACCTAAGAATTACTGATTAAATTAAAAATATTATTTTTTGCGCAAATTAAAACCAAACTGTATCGACAAATTACCTGGAGTATACTTTATCTTTAATTAAATCCGGCCTGTATAAAATCCATTGAACTTAATCGTAAAAATGCCATCTTTTGGATTCAAAATATCATCAATTTAAATAAAAATCTTTTTTTTTTCTATTTTATAATTTCCCTTTACGTACATACAATAATCCGGTAATGAGTGACGACGAAATTTGCGTAGTTGTAGCCATTGGTAAATCAATAATATGTTCACAGATCTCTTTTATTTTTTGCGTTATTAAATCAACTCTATTTATCCTGTTTCTTTAAAGATTTTGGAACAACTTGTTCAGGTATGTACTCGTTCTTTATGAATAATATTCTAAGGTTTT